CAGAGACAGTCTCACGGACAGGCACAGAAGGTCATACCACAGAGACACACACACACCACACACACAGGGACATACCACACAGAGACACGCACACACACAGAAACACCCAGAGACACACCGCGGAAACGCACATGCAGAAACACGGGTGCACGCACGCAGCCCCGCGTGCTCTCTGGAAGGCAGTGAGGCAGCAGGGCAATCGCGAGGAAGCCTCACCAGCGGCGAATCGGATCTGAGCCGCCTGCGGCCCAGTGGGTTGGAAGCGTGCGGCCAGCTCGATGGTGTCGGGGAGGTCGAACACGGTCACCTGCAGATGCGGGTACTCCCGGGCCAGCTCCTGGGCCAGCGCGCCCGTGCACCCTGCAGGCAAGCAAACGCGTGCTGTGTGGCCGGGTCGTCCCGGCGCCGACAGAAGCCCGATGACCCGCCAAAGCTCAACCAAGCAGAAGTAACGTTCACACGATGTCCGGTGCCACAGCAGCCATTCTGGGCCACATGTGGGGACACAGACTTGCAGGGAAATCCTTCCAGCCCAGGGGTGGGGGTCTGTACTCCTCCCTTCTCCTTCCTGCCGTCGGGGTGCAGACACCATGGCCAGGGACGGTGGTGACTCACGCCTGTCATCCCGGCACTTTGGGAGGCTGAGGCAGGACAATGGCTTGAACCCGGGAGGTGGAGGTTGCTGTGAGCCAAGATGGCATCACAGCACTCCAGCCTGGGCGACAGAGCAAGACTCAACGTCTGCCTCCCGGGTTTGGTGATTCTCCTATGTCAGCCTCCTGAGTTGCTGGGACTATAGGTGCCCGCCACCATGCCTGGCTCATTTTTGTATTTTTAGTAGAGACAGGGTTTCTCCATGTTGGCCAGGCTGGTCTCGAACTCCCGACCTCAACTGATCCGCCCGCCTTGGCCTCCCGAAGTGCTGGGATGAGAGGCGTGAGCCACCGCGCTGGGCTAATGCTTGCAGCTTAATAAAGACAAAGTCACGCATGGAGTCAGGGCGGGGTGGGGAGGGTGGTACCCACCTCCCACGTCGCAGGCGGAGGAGAAGGCAGACAGGTCTAAGGCGGTGGCCACGTGCCGCGCGTTCAGCTTGGCCAGGCCGTGCATGGCCTGCATGAACTGCAGCTGCGTCTCGGGGCTCCGGTAGGGCACGTCCTGGAACACAGCGGGGGCTCAGGGGCGCCAGGGCACACGGGCCGGGGGCTCACCCAGCCTGTCCCCAGACAGAAAACACGCAGGGCCTGGCGCCTGGGCTGCACGGGGGCTTCGCAGCATAGCTGCGTGGGGCACCCCTGACTGTGGCAAGGCTGGGGACCGAGGACCCCCAAGTCCGGGGGCGATCTCCTTGGAATCACTGGGTCCACACCACGGCGTGACCTCCTACAAGCATCCGAGTTTCCCAGACAAGGAGGCTTTTCACCCTGGAGGCTCCGGGTCACCCACAGACATCTCAGCGTGGAAAACCCGGGAGAGGGAAGCAGAGGGGGCTCCTCCCGGACAGAGAATAGGGTCCTCTTAGCTGGCCCAGGTCTCATGCTGGCACCCACCCCGGCCACAGAGGAACCCGGGTCAGTCCTGGGCAGGGCTGCGTTCACGGCTCCCACCTGGACGTGCCTTGTCCCCCCAGGGCAAGGAAGCCCTGCCCAGCCTGCTCCTGAGCCCGGCTCCCAGGGGGCAGTCCCTCCACCCTGGCTCCCCAAGTCACTTGGGGCCTCCCCGGCTCTCCCCTGGGCGGGCGGCAGCGACAGGGTCAGGACATCTCAGGCTGGATGCTCACTTCGGCTCGGGGCTCCTGTCTGCTTCTCTCTCTGACTGTCTCCCTTCGTCCCTGTCTCCCTGTCTCTGTTCTCCTTCTATCTCTCCATCTCCTTCTGTCTCTCTGTCGGCCTCTATCTCTGTCCCTCCAAGCCTCCTTGTCTCTGCCTCCCTGCCTCTGTCTCTCTGTGTTTTTGACAGAGACACAGAAACACAGAGAGACGGAGTATCTCAGCTCACCGCAACCTCCGCCTCCCGGGTTCAAGCGATTCTCCCACCTTGCCACAGTCAGGGGCAACGTGGAATCACAGGCGTCCACCAGCACGCCCGGCTAATCTGGTGTATTTTTGGTAGAGACGGGGTTTCACCATGTTGGCCAGGCTGGTCTCGAACTCCTGACCTCAGGTGATCTGCCCACCTTAGTCTCCCAAGCTAGCTGGGATGAGCGGCTCGTGCCACCTCGCCCGTCCTAATCTTTAATTGTCTTTATAGTGACGGGGTCTCACTGCGTTGGCCAGGCTGGTGTCAAATTCCAGGGTTCAAACCATCCTCCCAACTGGGTCTCCAAGAGTGCAGGGATTACAGGTGTGAGTTCCGACGTACGGCCTCCAAACCCCTTTCTGGGAGGAAATTCTGGTTTCTCATTTATTTTTTTTCAGATGAAGTACAGCGGTGCCCCAGACTGAAGTGCAGTGGCGAGATCTCAGCTCACTACAACCTCCGCCTCCCGGGTTCAAGCGATTCTCCTGCCTCGGCCTCCGGAGTCGCTGAAATTACAGACGCCCACCACCACACCTGGCTAATTTTTTGTATTTATAGCAGAGAAGGGGTTTCACTATGTTGGTTGGTCTGGTCTTGAACTCCTGACCTCGTGATCCGCCCACCTCAGCCCCTTCCAAAGTGCTGGGGTGACAGGCGTGAGCCCCCGCGCCCGGCCACTGGCGATTCTGTTTTCAGCTGCTGCGGGGTAACTGGAGCATAGCTACCTGGGACCTGTTCTGGAGGTCAGCGAAGGCACAGCCACAGCACCAAGGCTTTGGGACCTGCCAGCCTGGAGACCGACTGACCCAGATGCCCACACTGCCCTGTGCGCCAACGTGCCTCAGCAGGACGCACGCCAGGCAGAAAGGCTCCGCGGAGGCTCGCCCTACCTGGAATACATCTCCCGCCGTCTTCCCCAGCACCCTGTGGTGCTGGTTGGTTCCCTCTCGGACGGCGAGCTCCAGGTGCGTAAATAGGTTCCAGGTGACCTCGCTGCTGTATGTGATGAAGCTGTACAGAGAGTAGTCACCGTCCGATGCCAGGTACAGGTTTGCTGCCTCTGTGTTACTGTAACCTGAAGAAACAGGGTGCCCGTGTGACCTCGGAGCAAGAAAGCCCAAGGGGGCCGGCTGCGGTGGCTCATGCGGTCACCCAGCACTCTGGGAGGCCGAGGCAGGCGGATCACGAGGTTGGGAGTTTGAGACCAGGCTGACCAACATGGAGAAACCCCGTATCCACTAAAAATAACAAAAATTAGCTGGGCGTGGTGTTGGGCGCCTGACATGCCAGCTACTCGGGAGGCTGAGGGAGGAGAATCACTTGAATCCGGGAGGCGGAGGTTGCACTGAGCGGAGATCGGGCCACTGCCCTCCAGCCTGGGCGACAGGGCAAGACGCCATCTAAAGAGGCCGGCGTGGTGGCTCACGCCTGTCATCCCAGCACACTGGGAGGTCGAGGTGGGCAGATCACGAGGTCGGGAGTTGGAGACCAGCCTGACCAACGTGGAGAAACCCCATCTCCACTAAAAGTAACAAAAATTAGCCAGGCGTGGTGGCGGGCGCCTGTCATCCCAGCTACTTGGGAGGCTGAGGCAGGAGAATCGCTTGAACCCGGGAGGCGGAGGTTGCAGTGAGGTTAGATCGTGCCACTGCACTCCAGCCTGGGCGACAGAGCGAGACTCTAAAAAAAAGAAAGTGGCCAGGCATGCTGGCTCATACCTGTAATCCCAGCACTTCGGGAGGCCGACGTGGGTGGATCATGAGGTCAAGAGTTTGAGACCAGCCTGGCCAAGATGTTTTCCCATCTCTACTAAAAATAACACGAATTAGGCAGGTGTGGTGGCGCACACCTGTAGTCCCAGGTACTTGGGACGCTGAGGCAGGAGAATCACTTGGATGCAGGAGGTGGAGGTTGCAGTGAGCCGAGATCGTGCCACTGCACTCCAGCCTGGGCGACACACTCAGACTCCGTCTAAACAATAAATAAATCAATCTCCTACATGACATCCTAGGGGTTCTGTTGCCCTGGAGACCCCTCTGTGATACAGGGAAGTTCTTCCTTCCACCCGCTTCATGCCCAGGTCAGCTGTCCACAGACGTAGCCCCCAAGCTCCCTGGCAGGATGCCCCCTCCCACAGAATGAGAGGCTGGAAGGCGGAGGACCTGTCAGTGGAGACCCGTACGTGTAAACAGATGTCCTGGCACCCCTCGGGTTCTGCTGTGTCAGAAGCGGCCCTGGGTTCACGTGGATCATGAAAGGTGACCGTTCCTGAGACCTGCTGTGGAGCAGGGGCAGCCCGTGCAGACTGCAGCTGCTCCTAGAGGTCAGGTGCACAAAGCCTTTCTCCATATTCATCATGATATTCATCATGATTTCCTTCCTTCCTTCCTTTTCTCCCTCCCTCCCTCCCTCCCTCCTTCCTTCCTTCCTCCCTCCCTCCTTTCCTTCCTCCCTTGCTAGCGCTGCTGATGAAAACCCTTTCTGCATATTCATCTGATTTCCTTCCTTGCCTCCTTCCTGCCTTCCCTCCTTCCTTCCAGCTTTCATACTGCTGCTGATGAAAAGTCTTTCTCCATATTCATCATGATTTCCTTCCTTCCCTCCTTCCCTCCCTCCCTTCCTTTCTCTCTCTCTCTCTCTTTTCTGACAGTGTTTCGCTCTTGTTGCCCAGGCTGGAGTGCAGTGGCACCATCTTGGCTCACTGCAACCTTCCCCTCCTACATTCAAGCGATTCTCCTGCCTCAGCCTCCCAAGTACCTGGGACGACAGGCACGTGCCACCACCCCTGGCTAATTTCATATTTTTAGTAGAGATAGAGTTTCGCCATGTTGGTCAGGCTGGTCTCGAACTCCTGGTATCATGTGATCCACCCACCTCGGCCTCCGAAAGTGCTGGGATTACAGGCATGAGCCATCATAATTTTCAGTACAGGGGAATGGCGCTGAACTCCTCTAGCTGGGAAGACGTTCTGCCTCCTATGCTCCAAACTCTTAACGATATAGTCACGTGTCTCTGTGGCAAGGGCACAGCCTCTGGGGCCTCGACTTGTGCATGCTTTGGGTCCTAATCTGCTCCGGCATCGTCTGTTCTCCTGCCCTTCCCAAGCTACTCAAGGACTGGGCCATGTGCTCCCTGGTCTAGCATCGTGCTGAAGGGTTCTGTTCAATTCAGAAAACACATCATCCATCCAACCATCCATCCACCCACCCATGCGCTTACCGACGCACCCACCCATCCATCTGCCGATGCACCCATCCAACCATTCCCCACCCATCTACCCATCTACGCACTCACCCACTCATCCAACCATTCCCCCACCCAACTACCCATCCACCGATCCACTGATACACGTATTCATCCAC